GTTTTCAGGGCCTGCGTGCAATTTCATATTTGCAATATTCATCTTCTCTATTTATGAAGGAGGGGAACGGAAGACGAAGACCCGAAACCAGAAGCGCAATCTCGCTTTGCTATAAATGCACTGCTAGTTGTCTCATTCTGCTGTCTTCTTGCTCATAACTAATATCTCTCTGTGTTGGTAAGTTTGGAGATTGAATATTAATTAAAGCTTTTAGAAAGAGTCAGAGATATCGATTCTTATAATTATTTCGGACAATAAGATATTAAGATGTATAATTGTAAGAGAAGATGATGAAATAATAAGAGATATTTTGTATTTTTAGGTAGAAAGCTGCAATTATTGTTTTTTTGTTCGGGTTAGGGTTATTTGATCAAACATTTAATGGAAATGTTTAGTTTTGACTGACAAGTTTACTTACGTACTAATGTGGAACATCTAAAATAAAAAATCTCGTATGTTTCGCTAAGTTGATAATGCAATGTCATTATTTATGTTACGTGCTGGTAATGTTATGTAGGTAGAGTGGTGTATTAATGTCCTAGTAATATATGAAAATCTGGTTAACTCATAGACAAAAGAAGAGATAATTGATGAAACAACAATAATTTTTACGTGAAAAAGTAAAAAAAAAAATGTAAGAATCATTGGGTCTAGCTCTGTTAAAGTGATTCCACTATGCTGTTGTTGGTTTCAAGTTTTTACCTATACTTGAATAGTCATAAGTAATATTACATAAGTGGGGGTTGTCGACGTGACTTCTGCTATGTGAGTGTCAGAATACATTAGGGAAGTGGTGATCTGGATGCTGTGAAGGAGTACTTACAGTACATGTTGTGTGCCAGAAAAATGATGCCAACATCGTCGGTAGCGGTGCAACATCTATCAAGAAAGACTTAAAACCATTTGTTGTGAGTTATTTCATGATTAGGAGTCTCCATATAGAATAATTTTCACTTCGGAGTTGAATACTTAATATATGTTTGTGAGTTAGATATTTGAAATTAAAATGGTGGAGGAATTAAAAATTCTCTCATCTTGATGTGAGTGGACACCCTTATCGTGTTGATGGAGTAGTTCCTAGATTCTTTTATAGTAGAGTATAAAAGAGGACCTGAAGAGACAACGACAGACAAACACTATAAGTCCAAATGCCCTTTGAGAGATAATGGCTAATATACATGTATTTGTAACGAAAGGCAATGATTGGTTCTAAGAATACATTGAAAATAATTAGCCAATGCGTGTCTTTTAAGAGACAACAGGCAATGACAAGAGAAGATAGAGATCCTGGCTTTAATATTTCCACGAAATTAGAGTCTGGGTCTAACTAGAGAACGTC